ATTGAAATCTGGGGCTAACGTTACCGTGTTTAAATTGTCTTTACTCCACTAAGTGGGAATAGCAGAAAAGAAGTGATTTTGCCACTTCTCTTTTTGGCAAGACAATACAGCTGACAGGAAAGAGTACAGCAGAAGGAACGGATAAATAGTACTTTCTGACATCTACTAATATTCTATTCAGTGTAACCGCTATGATTTGATGGGCATGCATGAAATGCTCATTACATTACATTTTGAATGGCTTTCGCACATTGCAGACTGGATATAGCGAATTCACTTTTGTTCTGTTCCTTGTATCAGGCTGACTCTGATCAAAGTGCTCTTCAGCTGTTAAAGTGGATCAGCTCAGTCTCTCACCCACAGAGATCAGTCTCAGGGGGACTTCTCTAGGGGAAGGGTTTAGATGTTCCAGCTGTTGATTGTATTTGAAGGCAGGTCTAATCCATCAGAATCTATTTGCAAATTCATGAAAACCAGTCAGCCTTTACTTTCAAAACAAGTTTTATATCACATACCTCGCAAGAACAGGCATCGTCAGTTTGGCCAATAAGGAAACTGAGGCTCAAAAAGGTGACACCTCAGGTTTTCAAGAGCAGCTGCTAACTTCAAGGCTCTCAAGTTTGTCTCCTAGAAAGTAAGAGCAATTTGGATGACACTGGGGAAGGAGAATGCATTGCATCCGTACCATTTCCCACGAGAGCCCTCTAATGTTAATGTTACTGCACCGACTACACGGAAAGCGGACACTGCCCCTGCTTATTAATGTAAACCCGCAACTCCTGTTGTGTTTTTTATTTAACTCAGTACTCAGTGTGATATATATATTCTCAAAGCATATCCCTCATATCAGGCCTTTTGGGTAATTCAGGAATACAGATGCCTAAGTTTTGGAGTTCAGATGTGTTTTGACGTGAGAACAGCAATGCAGCTCAGGACTACCGCAACAGCACTTGTTGTAGACACAAGCAGCAAACAAATACAAGCTCAAGAGACTAGGTAAAGACTGAGGGCTGCATTTTCAGCCTGAGATATCCGAGTTCCTCTTAGGTCCTTTCACAGAGCTGGACTCTGGTAACTGAGGTAAGATCACAAATAAGTTAGCTAAGATTCAGGTCCCATATACAGGCCTTCCAAATCCTTTTCTCTTTCCCATTTTTTCCCCACATTGAATGTCCATGTCCTCACCATCTACCATCACCAATCTCCGCTCTTTTGCTTCTAAACACAAATATTTCAAGTATGCCAGCTTATGAATGATTAAGTCGTTCAAAAGAATTACGACACTGGTTTTGCTCAAGTCAAACTTCAAATGTGCTTAAGATTTACCATTAACCATTTATCAAAGTGCAGGGAAAAAGCACCTGGGAGTGATTTGAGAAGCATACATACTGCAGATTCCTGATAAGAATCCAAAGAAGATGTGTGCGTTGGCATGTCCTACAGAAACCAGTGGCATTGCGATTTATTGTGCACATACATGAAAGGCTATACGGTAGGAGTTTTAGTAATGCCAGACACAAATCTTTTTAACTAGACAAGTGGATTCTTGTGTTTCATTAAAGTCAATATGCACCTTTAAACATTTGCTTAAAGCTACTGTAAAGAACAAGCCAGTTAAAACATTTTGCCAGCCCTGTGAAAAAAGCCAGAACGCTCAGAAGCCACGTTTTTAAGCCTATCCAACCAAAACTATCGTAATTGTCATTACTGCTCTAAGGCAGAGGTAATGAAGTGAGGGTGAACTGGATTTCGGGCACCTTTGGCAAGCCAAATGTTAAATACGTATTAGAATTACTCAATAATTACAATACCAAAAAAACCCCAACCCAAAGAAATAGTCTTACTTCTAGTGCACAGCCATGATGTTTGTGTGTACTTTTCTCCTATGGAACGCACCGATGTCAGATCACAATTCTGAAAAACAAATAAAGCTGCTTTTCTGTATTCTCTATTCTGCATTTCTAGAGATCATGTTGCCTCCCACCCCTTAATTAAGGAAAGTTAGACTGGATGCTCATTCTTTACAGAGAGGGCTTCATGCCGTGTCACTGCTAGCAGAATCTGGGTCCCGGTCAGTCTTAACTAACAAAGAGTCTAAAACATTTAGAGAGTCTAAACATTTTTGCAAACGCTTTTAGGATTAACTTTTCACCATTCTCCCAGCAGCCCCATGTATATAGCAGACACGTAACTCCATTTAAATCAAGAAGATCTCCTAGTTAGGCAGTTACTGTCAGACTGCCGCGCACAGCCAACTTCTTCAGGGCAAACGGGTCTCCCCCCACCAAACACTTTTGCCCTCAGTGAAAACTGGGGTAGATGCTTCACCCTCAGGGCTGGGGACTCTCTCTCAACGTACACACAGCAGACCCGCTACGCTAGACTCTTCTTCCTCGAGGGAAAGCACTTTATAACTATTATGCACTATGTCTGCCCTTGACAAGACCAAACGAGTCGGTGATGATTAGAGTGAGATGGAAGTTACCTACCTCTTCTGTGGTTCCTTGCAGAAACAAGGAGATGGAAAAGATCAGCCAGATCCTCAGTTCTCTCCGCAATTTTTGCATTATATTCATCACTCCAAACTTCTAACAGTATGGGACCTGAAGAGCTTTTCTCTATGAGCAGAAATATCCTCCTACGAATTCTGAAATTAAGTTCTGGTAATTTTATTGTCAAATTCTTTACAAGTAATTTATGTTTAACGTTTGCATATACATTTTGATTTAGCCATTTGCTAAGAAAATATTTATTAGGATTGGAAGTTTAACATAGTAAATCAAACACTTAACATTCACTGGACTTCAGACATAGATATAAAATACCTTACAAAATTTTTTATGGAATTACACAAAGCAAATGCACAGGGTTTGTCTGTTTCCACACTGAATTAATCCCAAGCCAAAACCAAAAAATAACCCCATAAAGATCACAAAAAAGGCATGATAAACTGCATTTTTGTCATTGTTGCACTGCTATGTAATAAGCCCTTTTTACAAACATTTACTTAATGTTAAAAAAAAAATCAATTAAAAATGTATTCCATCTAACAGAACTATTGGATTAACAGCTGATTTTTATCTGACTTTACACCATGAAATTCTATTAATAGAGGTACCTTAGTCACTTAGTTTAAAATACAGAGAGTAGAGATAGAAAAAAATTAACCTTTAGTAGTCTTTAATATAAAATGCACTAAATTTTTCAAAATAAGATTATGACACACTAGTGCCAATTTATGCTGACAAAAGCCGATATCAGCTTCTTTCTAACTAAAATTCATCTCACAAAACCTTTATATATTACATGAATATTCAAGTAAACTATTTAAAAATATTTTAAAACGCAAAAACTGAATTATACAGTGTTTCAGAGAGATGGTTAATCTGGGAATGCTGTCATGTCCAACTATATATATTTATAGATACATTTTTTTCTTATTTTTAAGACCATCAAGATACTACCCGATATTGCAAGAAATCCTTGTCATTAACATTTGATATTTTTCAATGTATAACTTCAAAGAAAAAAAATTGTAAGGATTTAACACATTGCTGTGTACTTTTTCCATCACTGTTTCTGTGTCCTGTGCGACACTGAATCACACTACTGGCTTCCCTTTGTAAAGTGCTGAGTAACAGCCAAATTACATCAGATTTAACTGGAGATGACGGTTCTCAGTGTCTTGCAAAAAAAAATCATCACCATTTAACTGCTATAATCAAACAGCAAAATTTTTTTTAAAAAAAAAAGCAGGTTCAGCTGAGTAGCATGCTTGTTCACCAGTGTCAAATCTCTAAAAAAAACCCTGAAATACTAACAACACTTTTCTTGCAGGCTGCATTCTTTATATCCATCAGCCGCAAGGACATTAAAATATCTTATTAATGATCCAAACACTGGACACCTTCTCTGGTTGAAGGTGAGTTGCTCACTAGTTTTGGTCAAGTGACTTTTGGGAAACTTTCAGAGCAAAATAACCCAGCAACAGGAAATTGGAATGGAAAATGCCAACCATGCACAGTTCTATTACTGCGGGAACTGAGTAACACATGCAAGACAAAGAAAAGGTCAGAACATACCAAAGTAGCAATGGTTAAGAAGTTAGTAAAGTTTTCACAGTGTTTCATACAGCCTTTTACTTTAACACAAGTGCATCACTTACCACCACTATTGCTCAGACATTTTAAAACATCTCTTGGCCATGCAGATCAGTTTGAGAAGAAAACAGCAAATTACACTTCTTAGGCATTTTTAGACATTAAGTACAACTTATAATTTTATTTTATACTCAGTCTTACAAACAGATGTTTTCAAGATATAATCATTCTAAGTGTTGGGCTTTAACATTCTTTCCAATTTTATTGGATCTTGAGCGCTAAATGCCCAAAGAACTGGCCAAATACACAAAGCTAAGCTTTGTTCAAAGAGCCAAGTTATTACATAAACAGAAGGTCTAGGGAATTTCTTATTGGCACTCCTAAATTTCTTCCTTCCTAACCTCGAGATGATCCTAACCTTGAGATGGTTGAATATTATTCAGTTGTTCACATACATCTTTGCCTCCTGGAAACATTACTCTACTTGGGTGATTTATGAAGAAGTAGAACTAGACTCAAGAACAGCACTGACTTTTTTTTTTTTTTCTCTGTCCAAAGAACAAAATACATATTTTTTTTCCCCACTTGGCAAATTCTATTTGACACCACATCACCACCACTCAACATTTACTCATAAAACAGAGACTTACTCCACTGTCAGACACAGCAGGGGAAAAATGTCCAGAGGATAAACGGGAGGCTCTTTATCAGATATAATTGCTTGCTCATAAGGAGAGAATCCAGCTTCCCCTTAGTTATTCTTTCATAAATTAATAATTTGTTAAAATCATAGTCACAAGAATTTTAGCTATTACACAAAATTCAAGTTTAAAAAAACAAGAATAAATTAGTTACAGCCTTGTAAACAATTGCTCATTTATGTAACATACTTGGGGGAAAAAAGTTCCTCTATATAACAAATCAAGACAGTACAAGGCACACATCACACTTAAGAATCCAAAGTGATAAAACCAGCAGATGCCTTCATCTTCTTTGTTCGCTGGTGTAATTGTGCTATAGACACTGTAAAAATATGTAGATTTTTTGTTTACATTACAGTCATTTGAAAATATTTCATGACTGTGCTTTTTCTGGTAAAATATTTGTGCTATTTGACAGTACAGTATGATTTGAAGCTCTTGGAAAGAATCTTCTCAAATGCTCTCTACAAAGCTGCCGGGGAAAAGGCCAGTTTTTCCGTTTCGTTGCAGAGTGCCTTTGAACCAGCCATCCTCACGTTTTTTGTGTACAAAAACAATGTCACCTTCCTTGAGTTCAAGTTCTGCTTCACTCTGAGGAGGATATGATACCACAACTCTGTACCTGTGTAATTAGAAAAACACACCTTCGTTTAGTTGGGTTTTTTCTGTTGTTTTTTGTTTGTTTGTTTTTTAAACCAATGCTCTTAAAAATATTCCTATGCGTGTTAAAACTTAGGAAAACAGGAAATTGCCTAGGACTGTTTGCCGAGTATGTAACAACTTAAAAGTTAAGTACATCTTGAACAGAAAATAACAATAGCAAGGTAATGGATTTAAGTCAAACGTATGTACCTCCTATCAAGATTTTTTCACCAAGATTCCTGTAAAAATACATACAATGGTTAAGTAACAGGATAAAATTGTAAAGATATTTTTGGATATAAATTGGCAGACTTTTCCAGTCAGCGTGACTCATCAATAATCAAAGCATTCACAGCAGTAGCTGGACATAACTTTACAACTGTATGTTTCATATGATATTATCCCAGGGAAGGCTCTTAAAGAAAGGCACAGAACAAAAAGCAGCAACTAACAAAACCTATTCATTTGCATTGTTGTTTTAAATTATTTTTTTTTATCTTAGAAACTTTTCAGGATAGACCTCATGCCATCTTATCTGGACACAGTTGCACGATTTGTGTACTACTGTATTAAAAATAAACATTTTAAGAAGTGTTCAACTCAGTTATTTTCTTAAGCACCTGATACAAAAAGAAAAGTATATTTTTTTACTTTTTTACAGTAAAATCACTTTTCAAATATAAGTACATTAAAAAGAGGCTACACTCTTTTCTCTCTGTTTTTAAACGTGCATAACACCACTCAGTCTCTTCTACCATGGTTGGAGTTCACATCAACCTAAAATTTAAGTGTGACAGCCCTATAGACAATTGTGTCAACTTCTTGATCAAGTTTTCTGATAGATATTATATCTGAAGTTACACAACCAATAACGTCTGCATGTTGAAATCAAGTAGAAACCATGGCTGATTGTAGAATTCAAAAGCTTCTAAGGTTAAGAGCCTTAAATGCAGTGCTATGAGATCTGTTGGACAAAATCTAATTTCCACTTCAAATCAGAACACTTTGCCCTTATGAAGATTACATATTACTTAATAGATCAAGATAATTATTATCTTCATAATCTTAAAATACTTTATTATCTGAACAGATTACGATAAATTAACAATCTGATGAAAAGACAAAACAACAGGATACTTCTAGAAAAGGATGGAATACCAACTATAGCTCCAATACACACATAATAAAACAAGTTTCTAAGACTGCAATGGAGAAGGATACTATATTATAGTAGTACATTTTGCTTAAGAAGATATAGAACAAAAATGAAGTGTGCCCGTATAGTTAAAAGTATTTGGAAAAGAGTAGCAGCACTGTGTAAAAAAAGTCTCTTGGGAAATCTATGTATAGCAAATCTTATTAAGACTTAATCAGTTGTCAAATGTTATTTATTAGTGACTTATAAACTATGACTTTGTTTCAGTTACGATAATCTCCAGATTTCAGAGCACTGGACTTATTAGATTCATGCTTCATAGAAGTTACCAAGCCAATTACACGATTTATTAGTGCACAGCTTCAGAATGCTCCTCCTCCAACCTAGGCAACACGGCAGACGCCTGTACTAACTTCTGCTGTGGGCAACTTGGCTTTTAATGCTGACTTAGGACATAAGAAGCAAACATTTTTAATAGACTGTAAGTTTAGTCAAGACTGTAAATTACTAGAGGTAAAACAATATCCCCTACTCAGGCAGGACAAGATAGTAAAGGATAAAGAACTGCAATGAAACTCTGAAGAACTTCTACTATTGTAATAAACAGGTTGCTTTCAGGCTGAAAAGTAACCAGCACGCTACATAACACACACATAGCACTGGTTTTATCCAAAAGAAAGACTGTTAAAAAATAGGTTTTGAGAAAGAACAGCTGCCTTACCTTACATTCTGTCCAATGCTGCCCTGTAAACATTTGACTTGAACTACGCTTGGTTTCGGTTTCTAACACTGTCCGTCAGTAACCTCTGGGCTCTCCCGACCGGGTAGACTCGTTTTTCCCTAGCCTCTGCTGCTGCCTCCCGAGTCTTAAAACCAACCACTTCGCAAAAACCCATCTTCTCTTTGCCCTCCTTAGAGGATCGTCTTCCGCAGAGATACTGTTCTCCTGAGCCTTCCATACAGTTTTGAACTCCCTCAACCCTGCAGAGATTCAGTACTTCTCATTAACTTCTACCTTCCCCACTACTTTGATACTCCTCTTGCAATCTAATGTCTAAAACAAAAGTACAACACTCCTGGTGTTAAAATGCTATTTTACTGTATTTTTCGACGTTTAATGAGAAGAAACCCATCAGGCTGTGCACCTTTAAATGACATCTCCTTCTTCTCTTGTTATGACAAACCATCAAGTTTTATGCCACATTTTACAAATCCTAGTCGCCCAAACAGAGGCGACCAGATCCAGAGTCATCACAGACTCACACAGCCATCTATTCAGGTCACCTTCGATCAGCTACACAACAAAACCTGGTTTTCCATTACCTGTTTCATCATCTACAACATACTGCCAAAACTAACAATTTCATGCAGAGTAAAAAGCTTACGCTTCAGCTCAAAAGTTCATTGCCAGGTCTCCCTGGAGAAAAATAATCACATTTACTAAGCGTGACCTATGTTTTGGAAAAACATGTTCATTCCCACACGTTTGACTCTTCCTTGTTTATTTGCAAATGATTTCAACATATGAAGCTCAAATTTGCAGATCTTTTGTGGTCACCTAATCTATAATATTTTACAGTACAGTGTGCGTTTTCTTTTATTTTCTTTGACTATCTTACTGTGTTTTTCATTAATTTTCAAAATATTTTCTTAATTATTTTAATCAGCTGGTGATAAAATATTAATATTATTAAAATAAAAATACTTTCATTTCCCAGAAGCAGCCACTATATTTGCCATCAGTTCTTTCCTGATACTCCTAATGTGTCTGGCTGTATCCCACAGTGCTTTTGCACTTTGTGATTTATTTTTTTTTTTTTAGAGAAGGGGAGTGGTTGGTGGTGGTCTGTCTTCACATTGCTCCGTTATACTTTTCATTCTTAATATTGGCATTTCTCGCACTTTTCAGTAACATGAAAAAGACTGTATCTTTCATGTGTTTCTCCCTTTCTTCATTGCTTCTGTTTCACTAGACACAAAATCCTGCTTTTCTTCCCAGCTATTTGTAGTTGATGTTTGGACAGTTATCTGTGGTTTTCCTGATCACCAAGTGGATAAAAATATTTTCTCACACGCAGAAAATTTGAGCTGAGGAAAACACAGAAAGTTGGAATGACTATTATTACACAAGTTAAATTCATACTTATTATTCAACTTCCTGCTTTAGTTTCTTTTTCTCGCATTTTGAATTTTTACTTTCCCGCTCACCTACGCCCGGCTGTTGAGCAGCTCTCCCGCCTGCTGCGTAGGTGCCTTGACTCCTACCGACAATCAGCGCCCAGCTAGGGCAGACTGATTCGCAGCATTTAATTAACGGCATTAAATGCTGCCAGATGTGATAAAACCTGCTGCTCTCTAAAGCCACTGGCCTGCTCACTGGAAGCAGATGTTACACCAGACATTTTGTGGTGGATGAAATGACTTAGGGTCACTTTAATCACAGAACATAATTACTGCTCTCCTTCGTTGTAACTGGATGAAGGATTCATGTTATAGTTTAGTATATGCAGTGATGTGTATTTAGGTTCAACTTCAGGTCTTTAACACCATTGTAGTGTCACCGTAAACATCGGTAAGGAAACTCTCTAAGACTCAATTAGAAAGAAGGCATTGTTTATTGCGGCGCCGAATGCATGGGGGATCGCTCCAGCTAACGTGCATACCCAACTGTTACTGTGAACAGGTTATCTAAATACAATTGATTACATATTCATTGTAATTCCTGGAATTCGGATGTATATTCATTACTTTCCCCTGAAATCATTTACATACGGTGCCTCCCCTTCGGGCATGCACAGTTAATTATGGGAAGGGTCTTCTGGGGTCTTTTAGACCTGTGAGTGTGATTTTTAGTATTATAATGAAGGCCAGTTACTACAGGACACCTAAAACCACTGATTTCAGTGCCAAGTTAATTAATCAAATGACCACTTTGCCAGGTTGTCATATAACTCATCCATGCTCAGTAGCTTACCACAATCAGTTCCAGGTGTTCTCATCAATTTCCAGGACTTTACATACCCTTCCTCCCTTCATGAATCCCTTATTGTCAATCAAAGTCATTTTGATCAAGATTCAAAGCAAGGCATAATCAAAACCTTGTAATTATTAACTACCATTCCAGTACTAAGACATTAAATGCATTGTATCATTTTGACAATGCTACTAGTCGTCTTACACAAATAGCTTGTTGTTCTGGTGATATCAGTGGGGTGCTGGGAAGTTTGTCATTACAGTGCTGTATACTTACTGTAAAACTTACGTCTGTTTAACCAATGCTTCCCTCCAAAAGAGAAAGCTCACGAAAAGAGCTTGACATAATCTTTTAGCTCTTGTCATAGAAAAAACCTAAATCCCTCAGATAACCAAATTACTGTGCATTCAATAGCATAACACGGCTTCCTCTGCAAATTGCAGGGTGTTGGGTCTATCTTTTTAGTGAAAAGACAGCAATCCTTGGCCTTGACAGTGCTGCATCAATACAAGAAATCACAACACCCCAAAAGAACTTGGGTCTTGGCTGCAGAATCAGAAGAAATGACCAAACAGCATCACAATCTCGGATGACAGGAGTTTTCCAAACCAGATTCGAGGCTTGGCTGAAACTTCTATTTAACTTCTCTGCTCCTTCTGTGCAAGGAACATAGGAATGACCGTGGACCACAGAGAGCAACCAACCTAGTTCACAGGAGAAGAGTGAATACGGGAATGGGAACTACAGAGAAGACCTGCAATAGTAAGATGGAAGGGAATGTCATCATCTTCCTTTTTTTCAGTGAAATGACCACTGGTATTAAGTACCATCTGCAAATTCCCTTCACAAAGAGCTTGTTTGCTATCAAACAAATCAAATGCCCATCCATTTATTCCGGATGACTGGAAACAAGTTCACAATTTCTACTTCCAATTTTCTGCAGAACGTACAGGAAAGACATACTCTAGGACAACTTGCAATTCTAGTGAATGGAGAAACAGTGGGATTAGAGTAAAAATTTGCTATTGCATCTTAAAGAAAGTAAGGAGTTCCAGGAAAACTCCGTATCCAAAACAGGAACATTTTCAAGTGCTTTCCAGAGTTGAGCCAGCTACTTTTGCCCCTGACTCCTGTAGAATAATTAGCAGAACCTGACTCCTGAATCCTCTAGTCACCTTTGAAAATAACACTTGAACACTAACAACCACACTGCAAAGCTAGAGTCAGAACAGAGAGACTACTGTTTCTTTTTCCAAGCGGATTGTAGCCTGTGATTGGAATTGTGATATCTAACAGCAGAATAATCTTAGCAGGAGATCTCTCTCTTCTTCAACTTTTTGTTAGGCTTATCCTCATCAGTATTTTCCTCCTCAACCCCAAATTTTCCCTGAAGATACTACTGCATCATCAGTATGTTTCTTACCCACCCCTTCTTCCAGGCTAATGAAGATTAATCAATGCTTATAAATTACTTTGAAGATATGGAGCACAATTTAAGTAGTAAATATTATTAAGCAACACATTTTAGGCAATTCAGCCTGAGGAAACAGAAAGGTGACAAGAGCACATCTAAAAACATTAACCCTGCCCTGAAAAGGACAGAAGGAACCCAGATGAAATTCTGTTTAAACGCACTGACCAAAATGTAACAATTGTGCATGACTATCAGGGAGAATGATCCTGTGGTAGCATTTCTCCGGTAGCAATTATCACTTAAAGAATAGTAAGGATACAGAGATACATTAAAAAGAATGTTTCTGCATGTTATCACTAGATCAATAAAAATATACAGCATCATTTTCTGTAAGTAGTTCTCAGAAAAAAAAATCTCCATCATGGAAGTGAAAAAACTACTTTTTGTGAGGATGCAAATAGCTTTACACAAATACCCACTGGTCATGCCAGAATGAATTTGATATTCTTTTCACATTCAAAGCATAAAAACATATTACTGTGCCAAACAGACTTACAATAAATAAATTATGCTATTCTTAAAGGAAAGTCTTTCAGGTTTTATTTTCCATCTGTAAGTGTAAATCTACTTCAGAAATTCAGTATGAAATAGAAATTTCCTGCAAGGAAATTGCATAGAAACAGTAATAACCTTTTAAAAAATATTATAAGGTATGACAGAAATAAAATAAAAGACAAAGTAGAAACGTATATACTGTCTGGCTCTTAATACATGGATATAGCTTAAGATCAATGGGCCTGTGGAAATACAACCTGAGTTAATAGTATCAGAACAAAGTCTACAACAGTTAGCACGAATCAGCTCAGTTCGAGAGCTGTTAATACTGCAACTCAACTATTTTTTTTCCTGTAGGCCGCACAATCCTGTAGCTACTGCAAAAGAAATCCTATTTTTATTGCTTGTCTACTACTAGGAATAATAAAAAGAGACAGTAGTTAGGAAACTGCCACTTCCTTCATGGTCCGTGCAATCTACTAAGGACTTGCAAATTTAAAAATAATAGGTGGAAACAAAAGAAAAGTGACAGAACTTTAAGGCAACTGCCTGGCAGTTTCAGAGTCCAGACAACTATGCGTTTTTCAGGCTCACTTGCCAGGGCACAGAGGCTGCCCTAGAGCTTGCTATGCGGAGTGCACAGTGACGAGGCATTTGGGTAGCAAAAGTATCTTTGCAACAGCTCAAGAAATCACATATTAAGCCTACTCATAGATAAGGATCTCATTCATCATATATTTAGGTTGGCAGTTACGCACTGCTAATAATCTTAAAGGACTAACCAGATATGCATAAATGCAAGAATACGATGTGTTCATGTTTTGCAAAATAGGAGGCCTATTTCATCTACCTCGATTCTCGTACCAAACCTGCGATCACCGTATTTGAGAGTCTATTCACTGCAAAACCTCAAAGTAACACAAAAAGTAAACAAACATAAGCATGAGTGTTGGTTGATAAGCATCTAAAGCAGCGTTAAAAGCTAAGTTTCATCTTGCTATAAAAATCTCAGCATTTTGAAGCAGCTCTAACATACACTGCAAGTGTCAGAGACTGAATTTTTTTTTTCTCGGTTTGCCTGAGCCTAGCTGTGTCAGATAATTTACCTTTCACAGACAAGAGGCCTGGACTCATTCAGGACCGGACCCAGGGATGAGCAAGGCTGCCGAGGTGGCGGTGCTATTGGAATAGAGGAATCCAGGGAACTTGTTTTCCGATGCATCGTCTCCTGTGCCAGCCCAGAGACTTCACTGTCGGTGGGACAGGACCCAGCTTTGCTGTGACCGCCTGCTGACGGAAGCTCTGGCCCGACTGCACCTTGCAGGGCTAACTCTGCGGCTGCTTGCTCAGCCTCCAGTGTTGGTGATGCTGGAGGTGACAATCGGGGCTTGCGTTTAGTGGATGCTCCAGAAAGCAGTTTCAGCAAACCTTTTTTTTCTTTCTGTAAACCAAAAGCAGTGCCTCAGTTTAGAACAAAAGTCTCCCGCGGAGTTGAACACCTCCTTCTGACAGATGACATTGTGATCAGAGAGGACTCAGTAAATTATGAGGAGATATTTGAGACTGTACATATTACAAAAGATAATTATGCAAATTGTAAGAGAGAAAGATAGTTATTACAATTCTGAAGAGAAAAACATTAAGTCATTTAGACCATAAACCAGCTAAGTCCTTTTGCTTAGTTAAGGCTTACCTTAAAAGCCAATGGCACTGGCCCAAAAGGCTGTCTAGAAAAAGGAGCGAGGAGTTAGATTCCCACAATGGGAATCTAAGAAGTAAACCGTTTCATTAACATGGAAGTTTCCAGGAAGGCATAAAGAGTCATTTCAAACCAAGCAGGGAGAAAAGTCTGCCCTGGAGGCTGCTGTTTAGATAAGTGTCTTTTATTTATCCTCCCTCAGTGAGGGAAGACCTTCATGATTTAACAGAAATTTGCCACAAGGGGAATGTATTGTGTTTTGCTGCTCTGCTAGAGGGGAGAATTGTAAACATTCTTTCTGCTTGTCCAGACAGGAATCCCTGAAGACTATTACTTACCCTGAAGAGGATTATTTAAGTAGCTTTTGTGTTTCTTGTCTTTTTTTTAAGGGGTGTGGCACTGATCCTCTTACCAACCCTTTGACTGAGTGAATTTAGTGCTTATGAGAAGTGCCAGATTCTAAGCCCTGGAGACAGAAATAAGCTATTTAACCACAGAAAGAGAAAAGCATGAGCAATGTGAGATTTTTATTATAGCTTGGGATGCAGTGCAATTGGTGAACTGTGAATGAAAAAATCTTTGGTCCTTCTTCGAAGTCTCCAATGACTTAAAGCTGTTTCAGAACAGAACTGCTGTCTAGCAAACGGGAAAGAAAAAGACAAACTCAGAGAAACTAACATAGTCCAAATACATTAGCATCTTTAACTTTAAACTATAAATACGTTTTCTAAAAGCCCTGCCAAAGGGCACCTCAGTCTGATTTCAGTGGTTATGGCTAAAGTAATTTTAAAACAAACTTCTAGGTACCTCCATTCAACAATAATCAACAGAAGTAATTAAAAAGTGAGCGAGATTAGTGTACAGCCTATGATTAAAACCTTCATAAACTTCATGAAGGAGTGCATGTGGCTGAAGAGTAGTAAGTTAAAGACTAAAACATCTCAGATGTAAAGAAAGTTGTCAAAAGGAGAAAAAAAAAATTTCTAACTACACCACAATCGTAAAACAAAACCAGTTAGAAAGTTGGAGGAATGTTTCTGCCTACAATGCAGCATAATCACATGGTTTGTTGGACAGTGAGAATGAGTTTAGACACAGAAGAAAATACTTCAAATAGAAGGAAGGAAAGCAGAATCACTGCAGACTCTACTGATCTACATTTAGAAAAGACAGTTATGGCGTGGGTTTTTTTTCTTTCTCCAATCAACATTGCTAGTAACTTGTTTTTCATAATCTCTCAGTGTGTCTGCTTAATAAGGCAGGCAACCTAAAAGAATACTGATTTTCACTAAACATTAGGTTTATTTTATTAGTCTGAACTGTTTATGTTCCTGAAAGTTCATGGGTTTTGTTTTTGCCTTTTTTTTCCCCCTTGGGTGGTTTTTTTTTTGGTTGGTGTTTTTTTTGCATTGCAGGCTTATTGGTTTACACATACTTACTGATAACATTTGCTAACCATACAACTTTCGAAAGTATTCAGGAAACTGAATGCAGGTAAAGAAAAACAAAATATTTTAAATTCCAACAGTCAATGTAATAGTTCTGAACTTTATCCATTCATCTTTTGTTTTTCTTGCTTAAGGCATGAACCTGCTACCCTATTTTAACCCTTCTCCAAGGTCTGCTCTGTATTTTGTCCGTCCTAAATTATTCTTGTATGGCCAAGAATAAATTTGCCCACAGCTGTAGTCACAAAGTGGCTGCCTGAGTTTCAGGCTCAGTCCTAAACGCCTTACAATGCTGCCGTTCAGCAAACGTAACAAAAAAAAAAAAAATAGGTGTCTCTTAAAAGTTTGCATAACAAAAATGGGAGAATTCAAGGGAATGACTTTATTCTCTACCCACCTTGCTGTCCTTGTCTGCTTTAGTGGCAGCAGCATTTCCACCAGCTGCTAAAGCACTCTCCAGAGATGCAGGAGCTCCAGGGTGAGTGTTTACAGTTCTTCCGCTAACATCTCCCTCCAAAGATGAAGCAGCAACGTTGGGAGAATTCAAAGAAGCTGCTGCACATGCCAGCGGGATGGTTGAACGGTTCACATTCACAGCCGTGACGTAAGCAGCAGTATTTGGAAGCTGGGGCTGGAGCTGCTGGGAAGCAACAGAGTGGTGGGGAATGATCACAGCTGCAGGAATAAGGCATGTTGGACTCTGTGCTTGTATGGGCGTTACTGCTGCCGTAGGTCTTTCTTGACTGTGTGCAGCAACTAGAACAAAAGAACAAAACGTGAGAGACTTGGTCTTTTCACAAGATGCACAAATTGAGGTACAATCACTGTGTTATAGCTGATCAGTCATAAGAAGCTTCCTCCTTACCTTCATAACTTCTGTTTATATTATTATAATGACATCTTACACAGCATCAAATTTATCTCACCAGAATAAAGAAACAGCATACCCTACTTGCACCAGTATGCAACAGAAGAATAACAGCACTACAACTACGGTGGAGAAATCCAAGCTGCTAACTAAAATGCTTCACATACAGAGATGCAAAGCGAAGACTACATTTTAGTCTGTAAGAGCTAGCTATATACTGCGTGGAACTTGTTTGCGCCTTTCAATATGCTGTGCAGTTGTCTGGGCACATAAAACAAAGTAGGAAGAAACACTCCTCATTGAAGCTGCTAAAAATATAATTGGATTGTTTTCCCTAAACGATTCACAAAATCCACAACAGATTTAGTGGGTCTTTCAAACAATAAGTACGGTGGCAATTACTGCTATGAGTGGTTTCTCTGAAAAAGGTAAGCTATTGTCTCGTGGGATGTTTAAATATAGAAGTGGATTTACTCATACCCCTGTGAAATAAAAGGAACATCTACACTGGAAGTTGGAGAATAGCACAGGGCTGAATATACTAACCTAAGCTGCAGCCTAGCTGCAAAGCACCGAGCTCTGCATGAACTCATTCATCATTTCCAAGAAGCAACATTGCTATTCTAGTTATACGGTCAACCATACACGCCTTTGGATGATTTGAACAGCTTGGGCATCTCTGCACCACTGGGTGGGACGAAGTGCAGACATCTTAACTGAATAATGAGGCAAAATGCAGCAGAGGTGCTCACAGTCTTTCCTTCAAATACCCTGAAACTTAATTTCTAAGGAGGGGTCATCCCTCTAGCTTGGTGCACGTACATCTCGGATGTTATCAATTCACTCTGATTTTTCAGATACTAATTAAAGTTTTGGGCGTGTTATAAACGATATCCTGGAATCAAGCCTCCAGCACCTGCTGTCTTTAGTCTGCTCTCTACACGTTCCCCTGGTAGTTTGGTCAGACTGCATCAACAGCATATTAAAGAAGACTGACAAAGTTCACAAATTCGATGTAACAATCCTACAGCATTGTACCCAATTACAATCTTTACAATAAGCAACACAAATTCTTTCTATTTTTTGATACACAACGTCTTCCCCTGTAGCAGACTCTTCCTAACTCCGAGTACCATGAACGTTTCAAAAAGGAACATAAGGAGAGCGCAGCAAGATTTTTTTGTAAAAAACCAATTGTTAACGCTGCCTTTTGTTTGTGAGACTAAGTCAGTTTTCTTACAAGTAGCTGCTATTCTTCCAGATATGTCTACACTTACATGCACTCAATGGAGTACAAGCATGGAACAGCTTTCTGGTTTTGTTTTCTTATCCCTGATGGAATCCATAGGAAAAATGCTTCAAGTCACCCTATTTTCATACAGTTCAGTCTTTAGTGAGATAGGCAGAATATACAATTTCTTCCCAGTTCCTTTCAATCAAAGAACGCATACTCCCTCAGCGAGGGTGCTGTTAATCAATGTCTCACTAAGATTGTTTGAAGAAGGGTCCTCGAAGTCCTGAGCTAAACTGAAACTGAAGAACAGCCCTGCAAAATGCAGCATTGGTCTGCGAAGCCTTGTCAAGACAGTAACACTCAGCAAAGGCGCTAGAGAAAGCTCAAGATGATCACGTTTCAGATGCTGACTACAAAGTTCACTGTAACATCTGAACATAAAGCAGACATTATTGCTTCCGTTCTCAGGCTCTTCTAAGGGATGGATCCGTAATTGTGACTGAACGGTACACCTTTACACCACAATCCAATGTTCAGTTCTCTGTGAAGAGAGTTCAGCCGCTCTGATTTTTCCATTTTGGATCTGAAAAGTTGGTGGAAAATGCATTGTCATGTTTTCCAGCTGAATGGAACTGTAAGAGCTTATTCATCTTCACAGCGGTGCAGAAATGCAGGGACAGAAAGGCCTCTGGAGCCCACAGGAGCCTTCTCCTTTGAGCTGTCACGTGCAAGCTTCTAGGTAGTTCAAAAGAAGGATTTAGAGTGGAAACCACCTATGCCTGAGAGGCAGGAAAGTACAGATGCTTTGCTTAGTTTCTCTTACCAGCTGCCAATAGCACCTGGTTACTTTTATTTAAAGGTAAAAATTAAAGTTGTTACAGAGGACTATCACATCTATACCAGCCTAAGATGAGACTGGAGGAAGATGGGGTCAATTAAGGCAATAAAATATCTGAAGACATATACGTACATATCCTACCTCCAAAAGCAAATCTGGTGCTGACATCTGAACACGCACAGGGTGTTTAGGAGATGCATGACTCTAAAGAGGGACTTGGCTAATTCATGGATCTTGAGTCCATAACAAAACAATCATCCTTAAGAGGATAACACACAATACCATTCCAATCTTTTGCTTTATCTTCTGCTCTGCCAATAAGAATCTCGTGATAAAAAAACCCCTTTGTCATGACTCTCTCAGCCAAGAGATCTTAGGCCTCAAACTGAGGACTGAAAGAGGGAGCGCTGGGATAGTCTGAAACGGAGGGTTTGTTGGGTTTTGGTTTGGTTTTGGTTTTTTTTTTTCCTTTTCTTTTGAGGCCCTAGGAGCAACTGGAACAGATTAGGCTCCAGTTGTGTGGTATTTTCCTAGCCTGGCAAATCCACAGAGGAGTGCATGGATTTGGTAAACAAAAAACTCTTGAAAACACCACTATCAATCTTTTTGGATCTGGGTTTAAATAACAAGAAGGCATGTTTCACTATGATGTGGCCTGCCCCAGATCGCAAAAGCAGAGTTATACCTGTCAGAAATACAGAATTTTATGACATAGATCGTATGGATCTAAAAGCCAGTATAGCCTCAATGTTTTAGTGTCAAAGCTGAAAGAAGTTGCTGTCAAGGTTAGAGAACAAACTGGAATGCCTAAGGACCAACCCTGAGCCAGAGACCTGAAAAAGAAGGAATGAATACTAAAGGTCTTCAAAGATCTTAGGAGATAATTTAAAAGTGAATGCTAAAGTGGAGCAGTCTGTAGCTGTTACACAGTTAACACAAAACAATAAGCTATGACTTACATGTTCTTATCAGTTTTCTTACTATATGAATTGCTTATGAGTGGAGAAGCTCAAAGAATGTCCCCAACCCAGACACTGCTGGAATAAAAAAAAAATTCCACCTAAAGTACTTGCATATAAATTCTCAACAGTAGGAGTGTGTACGTACACAAAGTTGCTTAGAGAAGAATAAAAGATTCAACAATTCAGAGAGATATATTGTAATTTCAGAAAGCATTCAACTCTAAAAAACGACCTAAAAAAATGCCTTGAAAAAATACCCAGCACATATTTACACATACCTTGACTCCAGCCACTAGCCCAAACAGACCCTACAGTTTGTCTACCACACATAAAAAGCTTTATTTTTTAAAAATATTTTTTATTTTTTACCTGTTCTAACTGCATTGCGAGCCTGGTTGACTGTCATTTGTCCTGTCACGTGCATAAGGACCTTGGTTTGCGGACTAGTTTGGATATGCGCTGCAGAGACCACAGCTGTGGGTACTGTGCTGGAGTTCACTGCCACACCGTTCCCCTGGAGCTTCTGAGATGTTCCGCTAGCAGTGGAAGGGCTGACCATAGTTACCACTCGCCCTGTTTGGCCAGCGGTAGACATGGGAACTTTTGTTTGTGATGCGCTTGTCACTGTCCTGCCAAAATTAAAAGCAAAACACTAAAACACAACTGAAAAATGAGCTACTTACTAAAACTCGCAGCTCTTCTATTACCCAATTTTAGCATTAAATACAAGAAGAGAGTAATTTTGGACCTGCGAAACTATTTAGACATTTGTACAAAAGTATACCTTGTAACTGGAGCCACATAATTTCCAGGAAAAACACCAATCTTGCTTGTATGCATGGAAGTTCCCTTGAACCAGCCATCTTGACAGCGCTCAAACACTAAGAACATTTCTCCCTTCCGCAGTTCCAGTTCATCTTCTTTTCGAGGAGTGTAAGGGTATATAGCAATATACCTAAAAGACAGGAAAGTAGATGCAACTGATAAACCTAAAGCAATTGAAAACATCACTTATGTTCTCTAGCAGAGTTCAGTCAGAGACGAGAAGGCATCGCAGAAAGGGTGATGTTGATCAGGTTATGTTGATCCATCATACTATTACAATATTAAAACAGAAGTTATGGCAATATTAAGGGAAACAATGACCATTAAGAATATCCTTCTAACTGCACTTTAATGTAATGTACAATAGTTCTAATAAGACTGTCCATTTTCTTAATTAAGTTAGCAAACTTAATTAAATAGTTGTTTATCAACTACAGAGCCCAGCATATCCCACTTCTCTCTCCCTACACCTGCTTCTAGTATCTCCTACACTTTGTGGCATGCCAACTTTTTTTTTGGGCGGAGGGGTGGGGAGCACAGAGAAGTTCTGTCAGCTGGGAGCGAAAGATCAGTATCAGAGCAACTTTTCATATTGCAAAATTGGAATCTCTCTGTACAACTGCAGTGCCAGAAAAAAGATATGTTACTAGAACTTGAAGTCTATAGGTAAGGTAGCTAGCAGTTATTCACTTCTGAAGTTTATCTCCTTTTCTTCCTTCTAAGCAACATTAATGTATGACACAGTGCATCTGAAATCACACTGAGAGTTCAAAAACATTTTGTATTTTTTATTTTTAAAAAGACATTCTTAGCAGGAAAAAAAAAAAGTAAAATTAAAACTGAAGGTCCTGTAGTTGCATTCTGGAATATTCCTAAGGAAGCTTTCAAATAAGATTGCACAGTTTCCTATTATCACATTGAAAAGCGATACTGTTTTAACCACCACAGTGTTGTATTTTCTGCCACAGTTTGAATATAAGAAAACTACTTAAACCGTTTATATAAAAATGTTTATATAATCATGGATAATATGGGAAATAGCATTCCAATAAATCACATTTTCTCAAAAAAAGAATACACTTTTCACAAGAGGCAGCCAATTAGGGTAGGCGGGTAGACTATCCCCTTTTTTGAAAAAGAATCCACAGTTACTTGCAATGTTAGTCTTTCCCACTCCCCTTTTTACCCTTGGGGTTACAAAGTGGCTTTATGAAACATTCTTTTGTCAAAATTGTCTCTTGGGCACAGTAACGATAGCATTAACTGTACGCTTCTCCTTTTTGCGCTGTATTTTTGTTCCTTGCTGTCCACCCAGGAAACGTTGCATTATCTGCAAAAATGCTTTAAAGGCAATATAGGTACCTGGTAAAGCAAGTCCAAAATACGCTTTATAGGCAACGTATGATACACCGGCAACAAAAAACTTCACTGGTACATGATTTAGGGGTGATCTACAAAGCCACATACTGAAGCTCTATGGGAAAGCAACTGATGTGCTTTAATTGGTGTTCATTAACTTCCCTTTTAGTTAAACCAGTCCAAGTTTCATTAGCATCTTCATACATAGCAACCCTTTGAAGATAGAGGATAGGAATAAATGAGATGGGAACTTGATTAAATCCACTAAGCACAATAATCCATAACAAGCAGCGTTAAAATTCTCGACACCAAAGAAACAGCCCAAATCCAGATGCACCTGCTATACAAGAAGGGTGCTCTTTTGGAGTGGGAGGAAACCTGGTGGGAAGATAAAAACAAGGACACAGAACAAAAGCGGTCCTTGCATTATTCAAACGTGTCCTATTAGATGGCTCCTGAATTTTATTTTTTCTTTTATCGTTCTTATTCTCCAAGCTGCACACAAAGAAGTTTCCAAGAAGAAAGATGCTGAAAGCAACACATGTTAATATACAAAATATTTTCACCCAGAAGGATGACGCAGATTTGCTTGTAATACAAGTGTGAAGACATCATGCTAACTAGTAGCTTTCTGCCTTCATTCCAATTGCCACCCACTAATTAAGTGAACTGTAGAATCTTCAGTCAAATTTCAACTGCAGCTTACACAAGCTGCCTGACAATGACATGCTAATGTAACAGTCTAAATTAAATACAGCGCTTTCTGTGTTTTGGCATAAGTTACTCCATACGAGAATAGCCTTTTCATACCATACATAACAGAAAATGTTGAATAAATTCACTCCAGTATTTGCCACTTGCAAGTTACACAGTCTTCATTGCTAACTCAAGAATTCATTCATCTTCTGCATGATAAATACTTCATATTTTTGAAGCGAGTTCTTTCTATAGGCAGCAACAGCTTATTATATTTACCTAAGACATAAATAACCGTCAGTACGAAGGCTGTTTGGGGGTATCACCTTTAGGTATGTTTTGCTGCTTTTGTTCCGAGTTGTATGCTTGGCTTTCTGGGAATTCTAGCAGAACATAGCTAGCTGGTGTGATATAAGTACAGGTGAAGTTATTGATCTTGTTCCATTTTTCTGACTGGCGAAAAGTTTCAATTTTACTTACACACTTGGACGAGTTTGTGGTCGTAAATGGGCCACTTGGTCGGTTGATCCTGACGTAGGCCTTTGTATTACACCTGCAGACTGAGGTCCAGAAGAGGCCGATGCAATGATTGCAGGAGACAAGAGAGGTGGTGGCGGAAGCGGGGGATTCATATTCTGATTTTATGAGAACAAAAAAAAAGGCAACAAATGGTCAATACTGTTTGACGAGTTGAATCAGCTGCAAAAAAAAAAAAGTATGATATTCTAAGGAAATGGGGACCAAAAAAACAGCAGAGTTCAGTATTCCTTTATCTACTGGTACAATATAACTGGAGAGTTACGTTTGTCTGTATTTCTCTTTTTCCAGTTTAAAACCTTGAAGTCTTGGCAGCTAATTAACCAAATGACAAGCAATTTCTCAGCACAGGAAAAACGGAAAGCATTATTTCTAATTATAACATCTTTAGGATAGGACTCAACAAAATTCAGAAGCCTTCCAGGAGGTAGATTTTGCACCCTACTGCTGCCTGTACTTCAAAACCTGATTGTTTTTGTAACCTGAAGCTGAAACATAACATACAATTCAGCAACACTGCACCCAAACCCACCCCTTCTGGGGGAAATTTTCTTTTGATGTATGGGTTACAAAAGCGAGCACAATATGAGACCACAGTCACTGAGCTATTGTTACCACTTTCTCCTATTCTTCTAGTTTAAAGAGTTAGCTTTTGAAATTCAGTATTATCAAGATTGGTAATCTTTAACAAACACCCCAGTAAAGAGGCACAGTTCCTTCACAGGCAGATCGTAATGGGGGTCCTGCCTACAGGCTTCTATGCCTTTTTGAGAATCAATGGAGCAATTGTTACCTTCTGCTCTGTAAAGCCTCGGACAATTCTTTAGGACCTTGTGTACTGACACTCCTGGGAAAAGTCTCTTACAAAAGGAGACCCCCCCCCCCCCCCCCTTCCAAATGAATTATTTGTGTTATAACGCACATAAAAAGGGTAATAAAACCCTGAAAATGTCCTGAAGTACTGCCTGGCTCTTCCAGTCCATCAGAATATAAATGCACAGCATTACATTATTAGTTTGGAAAATAAATAATTGGAAGTCATTTAATTCCCCTCAAATAGCTTACTTTGACAGGGTTTTTTTTTGCTTTTCTAAACAAAAACCCTATAAGGAAAATAAGTTTTAGCTCTACACTGTGTGATTATTACCTTACTGCATTTGGTGAAATTATTAATAAAAAGACAGCTCTGTGAACTAGTCCTGCGCTGTCAAGACACAGTAAAGAACTGCATGATTAAAAACTTTCAAATCTAGACAAAACTGATTAACTCTTACAGTTTTTCAGTCAAAATTCTTATACTTAGTTATGATATAAATTGCATAGTATATTGTGAAATAGTCCTATTTTACTTAAAGCTTTTTTCCTGACCGTACACTAACAATTTCTTAAGACCGAATAGGTTTCCTGTATCCAACACAACGCAGACGTGAACCCCTGGAGAAACATCACTGTGAGCTTTGATACTAATAGTTGCGTTACTTACAAGAACGGCAGTTGCATTTATTACACATTCTAGATCCCCATCCATCCAACAATCGTTTAAAAATATCTTGACAATTCTTACTGACATACCAACATTTCTCTTGCAGTTGCTTTACAGCAGAAGTTATTGCCCCCTCCCAGTCAGCTTCAACGGATGTCTTAGCTGAATCCAAGCTAATGTGAGCATCTTTTAGGCAACCTGTCTATGGACTATAAATTCAAATCTTTTTTTTTGTCATCTAGATTCCTTTATACACGGTAGAACCTGTAAATCTACATTAAGAGATGATTAGCTGGAAATCTTTAAAATTAAACCTCTTCATGCACAATATCAAGGTTGTCACGATTCCACACTTCCTGCATCTCCAAAGTTATAAACGCTGGGCGTTGTATTTTATTCATTTGAACACACAGTATAAATTGAATTTGCAGCTGCAATAAAGGCACCTTCCCAGCTCTGTTTTATTCTGCTTTATTCAGGTTCTGCTCCCCTCCCCGTGTGTATTACTATGGTAATGAAACCTGCAGTGAGCCACAGCCCAATTAAACTCCCAAAGACTTGGTGAGTACTTAAGAAATCGAAATAAACTACCTGATAGGCTTTGGAGAACTAAGGTTCCTCAACTTGCACTGCTACAACTTGATAAAATAGATCCAAATGCTCTAGCCAAGATTTCAGCAAGTTTTCTAGCATGCAACCATTTTTCTAGCTACTGAGAAACACACCTACCTCTAGAACACAAGCTAGTTTTGATGGTCCCCATATTCAACATTCTGTGAAAGAATATATGCAAACCCCACGTGATTTAATAAAATATGCTTATCAAAATAACTAACAGTATTTTTATTTTCGGTAGTTGAGGGGGAAAAACTGAAAGTTTCTGCAACTAGTTTTTAGGCACCAAGGGTACTTTCAAACATATAAGCCAGCAAATAAATTTTTTTTTTTTTCTTGGAAGATGAAACATTGCATATTTTGATATTTAATTTATGTAAAAACTTCAAATAGTACCTATACTCATGCTCCAGAAACACATACATATTACTAAATTTAAATATAATTAGGCTGCATTCCCGTATCAGTCAACCGAAGATCAATAATCAGCTCACCCAAAGAATAACAAAAGGCACAGCAGTGGAAAAAAACAAAACAAAACACATTCATTAACTGCCTTTGCTCCCACAAGGTCTAGGAAAAAAAATGACTTGCAAAATCCCCTGAGGGCTAACAAATTAAGGCTCATGTTTAACAAAATTCCTAAATTATGAATATATGTTATCAAGAACAGGCCTCTCATACAAAACCTCCTACTTTCTTTCAGCTGCTTCCTCTTCCCAATAAAAGTTGATTTGAATTTTTGTTGGTTAAAACTCAGACAGTTCTCATTTAAACCTCCTCCTGACTGACTTACACTATTGAATCAGCTGGAACTACATGAAAGAGAGCTAAATGTCATCAGTATACCATAACCCTCACAGCTTGTGCCTCATTAATAGTAATTCAGACTACCTTATATACTTTTAACATAGAGGGGCAATTTTTTTGTGTGTGTGGGCAAGAGAACAGGACCAGAAAAAAAATGGGGATTTTTTAAAATTTTTGAAACCTTCAGCACGTAAGTGAATGTAAACCATCCAAATATAGACCATCTATTTCTGCTAGTTAGGTGCAGTACCAAGACACCATTTCAAAGTCAACATATTCAATCTGCAGAAGTAACAATATGGATATCTAGGTCGATTGCAGTCCAAAATACTTTTAACTTCTCCAGAGACTGTAAAGGCAGAATGAAAGGAAGGTACGTTACCTGTTGTTGCCACATTCTGTTTTTCTTCTGCTGCTTTTGAATGTAACTCTAACTTTGCTGTGGTATATTTTGTCTCTGTTTCTCCCTTATCATGGTTCAAATCACATACTTCCTTTAAGAGTTTTTTCAGCAAAATCTATGGCAACTAGATTAGATAACTACCTTATAAATTACCTCCAAGAATTTCCTCCCAAGTAAATGAGCCTTACATAATTGTACGTGCATATTTTCACCGAACAACTATTGAACTTGACATCTGCTATTTATATTTTATAAAGAACTTCAAATACACTAAGCACCTACAAGGTTCAAAAATGCCACGGGCCAAGAAGAGCAGACCAATTAATGCCCCCATTAAGGGCAAAGTTGTGGTTTGAAGCCCCAGAGAACAGTGCAAGTGATATCACAGTCAAAAGCCTCAGCTGTGAGAAGTTTGTCTCAGTTCATAGCTTCTTCAATTTCAAAGAATCAAACCTCAAAACACAAAACAAGAAGTAACACTGCCGTCTAAAGAACTAGGCTAAAGAACTGCTGCTGTAAAATAAAGCTTTAAAACAATTACCACAGGTTTTCTGAATGCAAATTAAAATTTGCTTAAGTGATACAAGCAGCAGATAGCATATATGATCACTCGACAAAAGCACTCTCATTCCTAAGTCGTATTTGTGTCAATTTTGGCTGCAAATTTGTAAATTACTTACTTCATACAACGTTTGGTACCAAAGAGCATCTACAAAAGATTATTATGGACAAAATAAAATTAATACAATTGGCGTTTTTTGAACCACTATAATATTTCCCAAAATAACAACATAACAAACTAAAATGTGATCCTCTATGAGCAGACAGGTAAAAGACTCACAGGCTCCTTTGGGCTAGGAATTAATCCCAACTGTCTTAGAGAAACTTGCTACCCAACAAGACAGCTCAAACTATCTCCTCTTAACAATAAAAAAGCCATCTTTCTTACAGAAGATAAGAGAAGACACTGGCTTTTCTTTGCTTCTAGATTCAGGACAAATAAATGTGGCAACGACGCATAAATTCAAGATTACTGTAAAGGAATATATCATCTCTTCTTCACTGATGGGGAATCATGCTCATCCTTTCCGATTTCTTCTTTCTCCCTTCATCTGAGTTTGGCAAGAAGTAAAAGAAGTTGTATAAACGGCTTGCTCTCAAAGACCAACCAATTACTTTAAATAGTGTTATAAACACCAAAATGATCGACAGGAAGAAGATCCAATTAAACCGTCTTCATGCTAAAGAGAAACTCTCCCTCTTCCAATCCAACTTCCTTGTCAATTTGCTTAGTATTCAGAAATGAAGAAAAAGCTAAGGGGAGAAGCTTAGAGAAATGCAGGAGATTATACTTACAAAGGCAAAAAAAACACAAAAGCAAAAGGACTCAAGCCAACCACTTCTGATGTAATAAGTCATACGATCACAATTGTTCTGTAGCTTAAAATTAATGCTCAGAATGTCAGGGAGAGTATTTCCAGAAGGGAAACATCTAGAGAGACTAGAACATCGCTTTCCCTCTTGACCTGTCAGAACTGTTTTGCACATTTCTAAAATTAAAACAAGAGTTTATGAAGCAAGAGGAAAAGTGGATGTAAAAGACACACTTCACAGTCTGTGACTATAAACTGCATCATCATCTAATATCATCTATAGTAAAAGAACACAGAAACGACCTGACTCCAGCCTGAGCTGCCAGCTTGTATTTTAGTCATGCTGAAAACAAGTCAAGAAGAAACAGAACATTATGTACAGAAGGTTATTGACTTTTAAAGAGGATGGCAGAGAATAATTCATTCTCAATGGGAATTATATGCCTAATTGGAAACATAACTAGGAACATGGTTATCAAAGTAGCATGCCAGGATACAGGAAGATCACATGGCAGGAGTTTCACTCCATGCGGCATTCAGCACTGTAATTTAACTCCTGTGGGTACCAATGGTGAGACGGCTTTTGAACAAGCTTATGCAACTAAAGCACCCAAGGTGGTTTAATGACTTTGCCTGAGCACCAAAATATTCTTCCATGTTGGCAAAGAACGAACTACTGATTCTTAATAACAAACAAAAGTGTTTGTTACTGAGATGGGGGCGGGGGGGGGAGGCAAATTCTGACAGAACTTTTGAAATAATGCTTTGAATCCTGCCTACCCCATCCTCTCCAAAACGTATCTCAGCCACAAATCAAATCAATCCTTCAGTGTCTGCGGCATATATGGTAGCTAGACTTGTATTCTGCCTAACAGCACAAATGACACCAAAACTGATTTCATTTGCTCAGTTCTCGCAGTTATTTTCTGAAGGACAGGATGAAAGAAGTATAAAAGATTACATGGATTAGTATATAAGCAGCTAATTGTTTCTAGCATTAGATGTATGCCTCACATGCAAAAAAAGGATCTGGGGATCCTTCCTGGTAGACACCAAGCTGAACATGAGCCACCCATGTGTCCTTGTGGCAAAGAAGGCTAATGGTATCCTGGGCTTCATCAGGAGGAATCTTGCCAGCAGGTCAAGGGAGGTGATCCTTCTTCCCCTCTCCTCAGCACCGATGAGGCTAAACCTGGAGTACTGTGACCAGTTCTGAGCTCCCCAGTACAAGAGAGACACGGACATACTGGAGAGCCCAGCGAAGGGCCACCAAGATAATTAAAGGGCTGGAGCATCTCTCCTATGAGGAAAGGTTGAGAGAGCTGGGACTGCTCAGTCTGGAGAAAGCTCAGGGGATCTCAAAAGCTATCTGGACGCTCTCCTGGGCAACCGGCTCTAGGTGGCCCCTACTTGAGCAGGGAGGTTAGACTAGATGGCCTCCAGAGGTCCCTTCCAACCTCACCCGCTCTGTGACATTAAAATACGAACCTAAATCTAAAAATATTATTAATTGGTTCCAGATTAGCATACATTTAACAGTAGGATTGCACAGACGATCCACTGATTGAAGGAGTCGTTCACAATGAAAGGACACAGCATTGCTACGCAGCACAACTTTCATTACTCAGTAAGGCAGGGCAAAAGTACACTGTCTGTATAATTGTCAATAATAAGGTCACCTGTCTGAAGAACAAAGAACGTAAAATACACTTAATTGGATGAGAGCAATTACTACATCACTAAGGATGATGACAATTTGTGGGATCACGGTGGATATTTAGCTGAACATAAACTTTGTGCTACACTCAAGCCAAATGAACGGATGCAAATTCTCAAGATATAAACATCAGACTACCAGGATAAAAGTAAAAGAGTCCTACTATCGATATTTCCATCACTGAAAGAGACTATGCAGTGCTGTACCCAGTTCTGGAATGCGCTCACCATGTGCTCACCATGCTAGAAGGAAGTACTGGAGATAATTCATAAAACAACAGCATCATAATTTTAAGAACTGAAAACCAAAACTTAGAGTCTCAAAGCAAGCTGTCAAAATGCAACCTCTCAGCTGTAACCAAGCCACACCTAAGCATTTGCTTAAACAACAAAAAGTTGGTAACAGAAGACAGACAAGTCTGCCTTCAATTTTGCAGACAAATGTGTAAAATGACCCAAGTGCCAAAAGTTGAAAACAAAACCAGACACATTTAGCAGCAAGGTTGTTCATCATGTTTTACTTGCTTTAAAGACTGCAAGGATAATTAGACACCTAAACAAGATCAAGCCTTGGGGTTTTTTGTTCAGGTTGTTGGTTTTTTTTGTTTGGTTTAGTTTTGTTTTTTGTTTTTTTTTTTTTTTTAAAAACTAAGTGGAGATTTATTATTCAACTGTGCCCCCCTCCCCCCCTAAGGTTAGGGGTGCAATTTTTGGACTCAAAACAAGAATTCAATTTCAAGAATTCCTATGATCAAAATAAAGGCTCATTAAGCTCCCTTGAAGATCTCCGAAAACCGGTATGCGCTATCTTTATTGCAGTTAAGGTCAGGCTCTGATAAGTGTGGTATGATATAGGACATTCCAGAGCTTCTCTAGCACAAATATAGCAAAATAAAGAATTTCAGCTGGTTTTGGAAAGAAATCCTGCACTTTTTGAAGACAATGTGATTTTCTTTGTCCAAAGGAAACAGCATTGCAATGTATTCCTTCATTTAAAAGATGGCCATTTGCAAGTCTTTCATACTGATCTCCAAGAACCTAACTCAGACATGCTAGATTAGTTCTTCATCTGCCACAGGCATAGCCACAACTAAAATAATCTTATTTAATTAGGAGAAAGCAGAGTTTTGAATCTTATTTCAGAGAATCTTGATAATATTGAGTTAAGTAAGACAGAAATATCTGGCAGCTGTGGTCTCAAGTTGACTTGTTTTTGTAAGATCCTGCTTGTTGCCCTTAACCTTCCCCCCAGCATAATCTGCTTCCTACTCATGCTGAAAAGCAACACTGTTCTGAAGGAACTGTGTTTCTTGTGTTTAGTATAGAGAAATGACAGAAGAAAGCTGGAGAAATGGACATGCATGACAAGACACAAACATTATTCTATCAATAATGCTTTTGCTATAGTTCAATTTATACCCCTGTCTGTCACATAGACAATCATCATAAAATCATCATTTCAAATCAGTGTATCTGAACTTGAGAAAAAAAAAGAAACAAAACCAGACTGTACCAACCAAAGACAAATGGGAAGGCTGAGTTTTCTTAAACCATACTTACACCAAGAGCAGCTTGGTAGGTAACTTCTGATGGGAAGGTAAATGAAGGCCCTGTTGTGACTGGGCTGCTAGGGGGTGGAGTCACAATTAGCCCTGTAGTACCGATATGAACCTGGCAAAGGGAAAAAAACACAAAAAACCAAAACCCAGCACGGTCAGTTCTGAGTAGTTTAATAAGAGCCGGTTTTGACACATCTGTAAGCTTCATGGTCAAAATCACCAGTACTCCACTATCCGTAACTTTAGACTAGAACTAATTTTTTGTTAGATACTCAAACAGTATTGGATCACAGTGCCACTTTTACCAATGACAGTTTTCTTTTTTCCCATAAAAGGCTGTCAGTTCCCAAAGACATGCAAATAAAACATATTTACTAGCTCCTGTAAAATGCCACCAAAACTTCTTAGTCTCTATTACCATCTCTTCTCCTAAAATGTAATCTTTATGTGAAACAGACAATTGTTCACAAATTACTGTAGCTTGTACCTAAAAGCTTTCAAGAAACAGGAGATTAACAAATAAATAAAGCCAGATAAATATTTCTACTTATCACAGTCAGATTAATATGGTATATTTCTGGAATTCATGTAATTTTCAAGTTGAATTTACCTTTTACTTGCATGCACTTTATTAATATCCAGCATTATATTCAATTTAGGAAAGAAAACCAAGAAATTAAATCTCTCCAGTTTCTAGTTTCCACAGTTTAATGAAAATCTTTGTGGCACTTAAGAAATTAACAACTGTGAAAAAAATTAGTGTACGAGACCAAAACCATTTGCTATCATTGTCTAAGCAGCGTGACAAAACGTTTTCCTTAAAGGCTCTCATGTTGGAAGATAAACTTCGTGAAAGTGTACATTAATACTCATTACATGTAATTAATAATTTGAAGTAATCTGACAAGATCAGAAGCCTTTACAGTAATTAAAAAAAAAGATACATGCAAGATCTGTATTTGATTTCACGTAAATTACCTGAGAAGGGGCACTACAGGAAAGTCCAGTCAGCTCGCTTATGCGGGCTGCTGCGGTTGGGTTGCTGGAGCTGATGAGGACAGGAGGACTAATCTCCATTGAGTGGCGATTCTGAGAAGACTGTGAAGACTTGTTGGACATAGTGAGGGAGGTAAAAGAGTGCCGTTTTTTGGTGTTTTTCTTAGTATCGGTGTGCTTTTGGGTTGAATTGTTGTGCGCTGCCCCAGAGGTACCTTCTCCAGAGTCAACAGCAGAACCTGAAGGCTTATCCAATTCTATCAGCTGTTTGGCTGCTGTGTTAAACTACAAAAGACAAGTCATACATTAGTATTTTTTATTTATAAAAATCACCTGAATATAACTAAGAAAAATATCTATTTTCCTTTTATTCATACTGTAACAGAATTTAAACCATGCAACTTAAAACTGTGACATAGTGACCTACTCCACAAATTAGTCATTACAGAGGGACAAGTCTTTTACTATAAACTCGACACACTTACTGTTGGGCTAGCGTGGACTACTCAGAGGCAAAATTGCAATCAAGAAAGGACATTATGCTCTAGTCCTTAACTCTGCAATATCCGCTGCCTGCTACCTCTAGAAGTCAGATGAAATCACATTGATTCAAGGCTGATTCAAGTAAAGCGACATACTGAGCTTTCTTACGTAGGGAAGCAAGCACAGGACAGTAGCATAAACCTAAACATGGAAGTGAACTGATTACTGGCCTTTTCTTAGAAGTAACCTGAGGACAGCAATAGTTGCAGAATATTTTGCAGTTTATTTCTTCCTTGAAAAATGAAGAACTCGCACACATTCTCCAACAAAATGGCTAGCAACCATTCAAGGTCTCCATGGGAATGCATCCCACTCATGCTATGAAGTGTTTCAATCCAGTATTCCTTTCTGCAACAAACACCCCTGTATCTATTCCCACATCTTCTACATCAGTTGTTTTCCTGAACAGACATATTTGAAGCAAAGTTTCTTTAACTTTTACATTCACGTTTATTTGGTTTTTTCCATTCAACAAAACCTTTGCTGGAACAAGCAGCCTGAAATCCAGTTCCCCTTCCCGCCCAGACCCAGGAACCAGAACAACTTTCCAAAGGGGGGTACGGCAGAGGCGGCCGGCTGAGCCGCGGCTCAGTGCTGCGGCAGGGTTGAGGCTAACAGATAGGCCTCCGCCCGCCTGCAGCCATCCGGAGAAATTATCAACTAGACTACCACGCAAAACCTGTTTCAACGTCTCTTACAGTTGTGCTTTACTGTACTTCGTTTGCAAACGAATTCAGGTGTTCTTCGCTCACACGTAGATAGTGAGAATTCAAATATCATCACTTTCTGAAGTTAAGTGAAAACACCATCTTCTCCCTCAAATGATCTTTCTATTCGTGTTCATCCAAAGTTTGTATTTATGCAATTTTTCTACATCACCATAGGTCAAGGAGTTATTTTTCCACCTTACCAACACTATTATTAGTCAAATTCCATTTTCTAGACATTCCGTTTTCACATATATTTGGAAACAAAGGAGTGAAGTGTAAGTGGAACTAAGGCAAACGTTGTCCTTATCTAACGCTATTATTTTTGCTAGGCATCATCCTGGAGGATAAGGAATAGCTTAGAAATTCAGCTTTGCAATTCAAGCTTTGGAACAGATATATTTTATCCAAACCAGCAGAAGAATCGTCTTGCAAATCTTGAACAGATCACAGCCATAAGCAAAGTTGCATTTATATTAATTTTTGAAACAAATAAAAGAGTTCTGTACTGCAGTTTTCATTGGGGAAATTAATCAAAACTATGATGCTCATAAGTTGTCACTGGAATGATAACACTGAGATTATCACAGGCAAATATAGTAGGGATTAGACTGTAAATTTCTACTCAAAATACTGCTGCTAATAGTAATTGCTGTTAGTAACTGTTAGTAACTGCTAACAGTATTCTAACAATACTGCTCAATGTGGCATAATATACAACATTCGTTTTTTGCATAAATTTTCTGTTACAAATTCCAGGCAGGTAAACCAGTCAAAAAGCAGAGGAATGTTTCCATGAGAGGTTTTACCTTTCTTCTGAGTTAGCATTGTTACAAAAGTCTAAGCGCATTAAACCAGATCACAGCATCTAACAGTGATAGACAAAGTTTCGCCTAGTAAGTACAATGTTAAAAAGACCGTGCTAGAAATCCAGCCTAAAATCCAATTTAAAATGTAAATACACAATAAAAAATAAATATGATTCAAAACACTCCTGTTTGGTACAGGAGGAGATGCTAATAAAAAACCCAACAACCTGACACACTAGGTACATAAAATTTTATGTTCTCATTGATTAAAATGCCATGTTAACTGATGGATGCAATTGTATAAAATGACAATGAACTTAAAATTCTACTACAATGAACGTTTTAGATCACTTGGGGTTTTTTTTTCCCCTACTTTTCTATGATTGTTTATTTATAAAGTTAGAGGAGCTGGATTAATACAAAAGTGTTTCCCAGTTGTTCATCTTAACTTGGGAAAACAAAAGCTGTCATTATTTTCTACTAACATTTTGACTGAAAAGTGATTCCTTTTCCCTGATTTTTCTTTTCCTGTTCTGGGTATTTGTATTTTTCTAGTTGTTCTGTATGAGTCCTGAATAACTTGTAAAAATTTAAATTCTTATTAGATTTGGAGTGTGTTCACTATGTGTTAAACCACATCAAAATGTCATATTTGAGGTCTAAGAAATGCATATTGTACCCAGAACTGTACTCTACGTAGAAAAACTCTAACAATATCTGGTTAGTTCTGATTAATCGTTCTTTTTGGAACAGCGATAAACATAAGTGTTACAAACTTAATCACACAGTTTCTAGACTCACTGCACTTTATTGTGTCACAGTGCAAGAATCTGGCTGACCTGCTTTTAATGCAAGCATGTTGAAATTCCATCAGTCAAAAATCTAGTAATTTAGATACGTTAATCAAGTCTTACTCTAGCAAAACTAGAGGGCTTGTTTGGTTTTAGCACTTCTTAGAAAACAGAATTTCATTTTTTGCAATGTTTGCATTATCTATTTTTCATTTGCAGAGAGAAGTAATTATTTCACAGCGCTATGTGTCTACGGATAAAGCTGTAATGCTTTGTGAGTCAGTTAAACTATATTTTGAACAGATTCATGATTAAAATTTCTCACAAAATGTTTTCAATCTTAGCTTTTATTATTACTACAAATTTAATAAGTGAAAGTAATATAAAAGAATAGAGCAGACTAGCAAACATTGAATCGTAACAAAAGGACGTGGACATGTGGACTAACATACACAAGACAAAGACATGTCTGTCATTATGATAAAAACAGGCAATGATCATGGGACTGGGAAATATAACTAAAAATACCATATTTAAAATACCTCAAAAATATGACTTATTTCTCATCTTCGATGTCTTTAATAACAACATAGGTAAGAATGGTTTGATCTACCTGTTTGTATCAACTGCCTGTATATTTCCCAGAATAATAGTTACGTAAACTCAGAAAACAGGTATTTCAAAATTCAAATTGATAGTTTTCTGCACACCTCACTGCCCTTCACCTCAGTATGCGTTTCAGTTTAGTATACACTGAAAAAACCCTCCTATCCGATCTGAAGTATCTCTTTGGGTATCACTTATCATTCTAGATTTCCCATATCATTTTAGTGGGGATTTGCAAGTGTGTACATAAGTGCTTGTGCTGTTCAAAAAGGGTTAATTGAAGATACATTTTCTTAGTTGATGGAATTTGTCTGAAAACATCAATAGTGAAATACATTTGTGTGACAGAGTACCGTTTTTACATTAATTTTTTTCAAGAGTATACCTCCATTTGGCAAACTTTTGCCGAGATGGAAATGGAGTTGTTAGCTGAACAGTTAGTCCAAGCGGCTGCCCTAGGAAAGGGCTTTTTCTAACTTGGCTAAGTGATTTAGTTTTAAAAAGCGCCACAAAAAGCTTTACTGGCTGGACTGAAGGGGCAGTTAATTGCAAGGAACTAGGAATGAATAGCCAGAGGCAAGAACTTTTTTAATTGGCTTTTAAAAACTTCTTAAACTGAAGTCAGAATTGCACTAAGCGGGTTGAAACCCTTTGGGTTTTGTTGTTGTTTTTTCAGTCATGTGAAACTTCTGTCCCTAGATATACAGATCCTTACATCAACCTATAAAAATGAATACACATATTTTCCCTTTTAAAAAGAATAAATTCTGTGTTGGTTGAACACAGTCATTTTTCAAAAGTTCCCATCTCATCAGGGCATTCAGAAATCGGATGAATAAAACCTAACTTGATTCTTAGTACAGTTACACATTTCTTCTGTGATTTGAGGTACATATTTCTCATCCCACAGGTAATGTGAAAATACTTATTTCTTTCATCATTCTGCCTCATTTATTTAAATAAAATCTTGTCAGTGCAAGAAGTGTATCTTACCAAGTATCCATAGCATACCTATCAGACAAAGACAAACACTATTCCAAGCCTCTGTATTTTTCTGTAACACAAATTTTAATAATCGCTGCAGCTGTACACACTGTTCTTAATCTTTCTAAACAGAAGATACAGCTTCCAACTCTTAAACCTTAAAAGGCTGGGGAAACTTTCTCAACTGCTACCTCTCACTGTAAATTCTCGTATCCCATAGGAGAAATGCAGGAAGATACAGAAGGTTTTATATAAGGGTCTGTGGGATGTAAAAGTCAATGCTTTACCTGCTTAACAGCCGCCTATATTCTTTGACTTTCTAGTTGTGCTAATTTGGTTTTGAGAGGCAGGTATTAGTGCAAAGCTTACTGTTTCTCTGACCTGCCGATTGCTTCCATTTTGCGATTAAGTGTGGTTTGTGCTCGACCGCATGACTGCAGTATTAACAAGAAAACACAGTGACTGCCTCCAAGTACTCTCATTCCAATTCCATTCAATAAAAATAGGTATCAAATAGCTAAGTAAAAATCACTGGTTGAACTGCTCAGGTCATTAACTTTCCCAAACTAAGCACATAGCTTCTAGATTATTTTAGGTCTAAGACTATGTATATCTCAGACTATTCTAGAATCATCGCCAGTACTAACTGTTTTTCCTTTTAGAAAGTGAAATACACGGTGTGCACAACCTTACTGAGGGCCCAACTCTACTCACCTCAACATATGATATTGGAAATATTCCTATCTTGTCAGCCAGCATTCCTTCTGCCCAGTTTTCATCCACGCGGCGAATTACAGTCAGAACATCATCCTGTGTGAACATGCAACCATTATGTCTCCCAGCTGTAATTAAGCTTCCAATTTAACATCCCTCCATAACGCACAGGTAATCAGAGAAGGCAGTACACGGACAAGAACCACAGAGAGGGCACCCCGTAACAGTAACATGCTGCTTTTGGGGTTGAAGTCAGTCTCAGCCGTTCTTTCTCCTATTTTGTCAGAGTTCAGCTAACTGTCCACAGCTAATCTCAGCCATCCGACTTTATCCTTAGTGCCAAACTTCCTGCCGTGTTCAGTCCATGGTATTCATCAGCGACTTTATCCTTAGTGCCAAACTTCCTGCCATGTTCAGTCCACGGTACTCATCAGTCCTCCTTTAAATCCTTGGCATTAATCAACAGAACTGTAATCTTTTTCCTTCTCAACTGACAACTCACTACCTAATCTTCCCTAGATGCTGCTTTTCTACTTACATACTTAAGAACACTGGTAAGTGATATGATTTCTTTCACATCTACATGAAGCATTTGGATTAGATACAGTTTTGAGAATGTTACATAGAAAAAGGATTTATGTGGACATTAAACATTGCTCTCGCTTACACTGAGATACCTACTTGCTTCACATGGAAGTTAAAATATTTGGAAACATATATGCTTACTCAAGTGAGAATGCAGATTTAAAAAAAAAACAAACCACCCAAAAAACCCAAACAAAAACCAGTCGGATTTATGTGGACATTAAACATTGCTCTCACTTACACTGAGATACCTACTTGCTTCATATGGAAGTTAAAGTATTTAGAAACATATATGCTTACTCAAGTGAGACTGTAGATTTTTAAAAAAAAAAACAACACCCAAAAAACCCAAACAAAAACCAGTTTGCCAACAAGTTAATCAAAATATGCAAGCTAACGCCAATCATCAACAGTATTGCTGTTCTGTGTTGTAATATCAACATGTGGACAGATAATGGTTATCTTTCCTTTTCACAATTTTAGCCATCCTTTTCATTTTTAATAGGCAAGGGTAGAAAAGCGATTAGCTCACATTTGATCTTGCAACATTTTTGTGCAATTTAATAAACTAAAGAATCAGAAACTAAAAAAAGGAACAGCTCTGATTCCTGCTAAAAACTCTGTATCGTTATGTGCCTTGCAAGACAGAAAATCAATTGTAATAGAAACGATCTAAGAAGAAACATCATATTCTCTAAAAGGCAATTAGTAATATTATAGAATGACAAAGCTTAGTAGTACTTTGTGTCTGTATCTAGAACCTAAAAAAGTCACGTACTGAATGCAAAGCTGAAAACAGTATCAACTTCAATTTAAAATGAGTGTTTCTTTAAAAGATGGAACACTTAATTCATAACATAGGTTATTTCTCATAAATTAAGAATATTACTACTGCAATTATGAAAAACAGCTTTGCCAATAATAAAACCTCAGAGGAATTATATGTAATTTAGGAAGAGAATGAAGGCAAAACTAATCAACATAGGAGAAATACCTGCAGAATTGCCTGCCCTTTTCATATTTGTGCAGCTCCACTGAAAAAAATGCAGACCAGACTACAGAACAGTCTTATTGTCCAAGTGAATAAAACTATTACAGGAAAATAATAATTTTATTATGTTTTTACCTTTGCAAATGGTAAACAGTCTTTATCTGCTTCCTTGTCTTTTACTTCAAAGTCATAAAGTGCTTTGCACTGAGGCGGAGGTTGAGGTAAAGGTTTAATAATCTGAACAAAATTGGTAGGAAAAAAGCCATGGATGCCATTGACTTCTCCGTGATACCAATTTTCATCCACCTGTCGACGCAAAATGATGATGTCTCCTTTACTGAATTTAAGATCTCCAGGTTCTTTTCCCTCGTAGTTATACAATGCTTTGGCACATGGTAACTGAGGTACACCCTAAAGAAGAAGAAGAAAAAAATAATTACTAGAATTAGATGAGTATTACGAAATAGAATTTATATTACATTCTTTGGGAGACTATGAATGAAACCGTATAAAATTGCAAAGTAAAATTATACATAGTAAAAGTATTTTATTGCAATGATTCTACTGATTTTACCCAAGTGTGTAGGAAGAGCTTCAGTTCTATACAGCCTTAACATCCCCCTAAATTTCATGATGATTTTCAGTAATGCTACAAACGTTGCTAGACACAAGAGAGGCAAAACCCAGTAATACTTTAACTCTCATGTACTAATTCACTAAGCTTAAACACGAAAAGAACAAAAAAACAAACAAACCAACCGGAAAGTATCCTGAGCACTTGAGAGATCCGACAGAAAAATGCTGCAAGAAAATACAGGACTAGAATAACAAATTTGCTATAAAGACCTTTAAGGCACTTTTCCCGCCTGACTTTCTCATTATTTTCCTCATCTTATTTATTCACAGGCACAGAATGCTAAGGATGAGGACATAAGGGAGGTGTTTTCCAGCTTGAAAACCAAATCTCACTTTATTAAAGGTCAAATATTTCCTCCTAGAACAATCCTTTTAATTTAATTATTTGTTTAAAAACATCGCTAAGAAGAATTAGTGGAAAAAAAAAAATAAATCTGTTGAAGGTGTGTATCTTTGGGTTTTCTTAACTTGATTCCTCTATAATATCTGAAAACTACAGGTCACTGCTGTTGCTCTGGAATGCACGTCAGAAGGATTACAATATAATACCGCGTCATCCTGCCTTATATACACTGCAGGTATTCTTTTTTTAATTACTCAGTCTCTGCCTCCACGTTTTGCACGAGTGAGCCATAAAACTCTACAACTCCGAGTATTAGGGCTACTGCCTTCAAAACTCTTTTCTATCCAAATTTAAACACCTAGAGGGGAGCCCACCCCCTTACGGATGCAAAGAGCAGTAACCTGCATTACTGAGACAGTCTTTCCACACCAAAGACAGCATTTATAGTCAACTAGAGCACAGCAGTTCACATCTTGAATGCTATCCTGTATGGAAAAAGTACATTTCAATGAAATTCAACATTGGTGATATTATTGGCCACCTCTACAACATGGTACAGCTCTCCTCTCAAATCTTGTACCAGCTCAGATTGTAAACTAGAGTTGCACTTGCAATATCTCAAGAGGTACACGCACAATGCAAGGAAATTCTCAGAAGGAATTACCACGTCGAGGCTCTCTCATTGGTCAGAAGACATAGCACTCGATAATTTATTTCACATTTAACACTTCAAATTTTGCCTTTCAATACAATCCAATTTGTTTGGACATCTTTAATTTCTGTGTATGATTTTAGAAACATTAATAATTTCATGAATGGATCAATAATATCTTAAAAATTAGCTTATTTCATAATTTTCTTTCTATACCAGTCAAAGGAAAACCATACGTATATACATAGGTACAGATGAGTATGATTTACGTGGGAACACAGGAAAATCACAGTTCATTCTACTGCATCTGGGATGAGTACTAAAACTATTCTAGTAGCAGGATCCATGCAATTGTTCACAAAAACTGGTGATCTTCAGACTGAAGCAAGCAGTATTTTTCTTCATGATCACAGTTAACCACATCAGTGCAGAATGTAAACACCACTGGTACACTCTGTGTAAACCTGGACAGGGAAAAAGACCAAGACAACATCTAGGGAATTTGCGGGTGGGGGAAATGCATGGCCACAGCAGAAAAATTAAAAAATATTGTATGTATGTATTTTTTGGTCCTATGTGCCCTCTGCAGAGTGAACAGATGGAATGAAGGAAGTAGTCGGTGTAGAGGCAGTAAGGACAAGTGCAGAGAGAGAGAACTGGGGAGAAAGGGCAGGTTGGACGCAAAAAGAAACACACCTCTACACAAGACAGGCAACACAGCTTGCTTATCCGTTTCCATCCCAGTAACAAACCAACCAAAAAATTACAGCCCTTCAGTGATTACGAGCCAAAGAATTACTTGGTAGAAAAAGGGCCCTAAGCAGTTTTGGCTACTACAAGACGTACATCTCTCTGTTGGGAATAGCTGGAGTTCTCCCAGGAATCACCCTGTTGTCCCAGGAGAAAGCTTTCTGTGTCTCCATACTAAGAACTTCGAGATTAGTTCTGTGTGTAAAAAACAGTTGGGGAAAAAAAAAATAATATTTCTTAAAACTAACCAAAACAAACCAGGAATGCAAGCGGAGCAGATCATGTCAAAGTGATCAAACTCATCAATTAGTCATCATTTAATTGTTAGAACTCGATATTGCGTTTATGCAGTTTACCACAAAGCCTCCCACGAACAAACCTTCACTCAAGCGTACAAACATCTGTTTGTATTTTGTAGGAAGTTCCTTTCCCAGTGCATAGGTTGAGTTTCTGCAAAGTTCGTTTCCCACATTAAGTAAAAACGGTTCCAGCCCGTCATTTCAAACAGAACAAAGTTCAACAAAACACACACTTCATTCTCAGTCAGAGAATTAAAGGGAAACAGTTAAACGGCTGGGAGGAGAAGTAAAGCAAATGCCTTTGCCTCCTGTCCCAGGGGGAGGCCAAAGTGCGAAGGAGCGGGTGCAACGGGGAGCGCGGTTCTCAACGGTAGGGTATCAAGGGCCCTCGAGCATCATCTTCACTTTGCTCCTCCTTGGAGCAACCTGGGAGCAGGGCCGGTGTGGTTACCAGCCTTCGGCAGCTTCGGCCCCCCTTCTGCCCCTCCGGCTGTTCCCCAGGAGAGAAGGCCGTGAGGATACACCGAGCTGGAGTTTACATTTCACTCCCTGTCTCTCACTTGGCTAAACATGAAAGGAAGGCTTTGGAAGAAAAACTTTGCAGCCTACCCTTAGGTTTACAGCTGCTGTTTACCCTGCCAGCTCTTTGAGAAAGCAACCAAACCAAACAAAAAAAAAAAAAACCCACCCAACAACAACAAAAAAACCCAGACAAAAACCATTTTAGGAAATTAAAATATTAAACCCAGAAAGACTCCATACAAAATAGGTTTCTTAGAATTATTTCCTCAGTCCTTATGCAAAATCCTTATGCAAAAATACTTAACTTCTAATGGCACTTCTGATAAACTGTTTAAATTCATTTTTAGTTAAGGCATGGATATACATACATTTCACATGCCAGATTCCTTTACAGAAAATAAAATTAGTAATATATGATGACATCAAACCAAACGGCTTAACAAGAATATGAAAAAAATGAATATGCATTCATATATATGAGCTTCGGGTCCCCCAGATTTCTTCTAGCCCAGATATTTTGTCTTAGAAACCTTCAGAATTCGCTTATAATTTTCCTCTTTGGATTTCCACTTTGTCTTCAGTCACCTTATTTCGAACTTTACTCTTATTTTTTTAATAGACAATATGCAACTGTATGTATTTTTCATAAGCTTAAGCCAAAATAAACTTATGCCTGCACAGAAACACGAGATCCGATTTCCTTTTAAAAGAAGGAGTTTGTGTGACAGAAGCCCAAATGGAAATACGCTTACACTGGCATACAACAGCATTCGTTGTATAACTTACTGCACTTGGAGAAACACCATAAGCTAAAGTAGCAAAAATAGTAAATCCCCTCCCAAGGAAATGAATGGCACAGATACCAGGTCATCTGCATCTCTGTGTCCTTCCAGGCCTCCCTGGCTGCGGTGCCGCTGGTTGTCACTTCTCCCATTCCCCGTTCTCTGGCTGTGAGACTGGGAGGTGGTCTGGGCTTCCCTGTGAACCACCTGAATTTATCCAGAACATCTCTGCCGGCTTCACCTGTTTGAGGTTCTCGGATACCGAGTGTCTTTCGGAGGTCAGGAAGTCTTGGCTTTTTTACAGGACTGCTGTTGATGTTAGTAGTAGGGCAGACAAAAAAGATTTCTGAAACTGTCTACGTGCACAACCAAGGTGCTATCAATCTCCAAAGAAACTGGTCTGCTCGGACACCTCAGCAGCAGTTTTTATGCCTAGTGTTCCTAAATAACTTCTGCCTTTCTTTACAGAAAATCTATAAACTGGAAGTTACTATCATTTTGATCGATGTTATAAGAGGATCTTCAATAAATATCAGTTATCTGCAATTTTCATACAAGTAAAGACAGAAAAATGTTTTTTCCTCATCTATCTTTTTATTTTCTTTCCATGCAGCTCCTAAATCAAACAACAATTACATTAATAACCAGGACAAGATGAGAAACTATTATGAAAAATCTCCAAATACACAGCAATCCTAAGTACAGTAAGTCTAGTGCTACACAGGCGCTTTTATCAGTCTTTTTTCCCCCCAAAGAACCAGTATTGTAAGACATACTTGGTTGCCAATAGAAGTTGCCTTTCTATAAGGAAAGGAGCTTCTTAAAATGCTGCAGCCAATTTGTTTGCAAGGCAGATTTGGGTCGAGGGAGTTCTTTACAGGTATGTTCTCCAGTAGGTACAGGTATAACCAAGATTTCCTCTCCAGACTCCTAGTCATTCCAACCTTGTGAATGACTATATCGCTTCTTTTAATCTAGTCCGTGCTCTTTCATACTGTTGCCTTCTTGACTAAAATCTTTCCAATGTATCCATTTCATTACTTTTTTTAATGTGTATTTTTGCTTTCTTTACCAAGCTGTCCAGCCCTACGTGCAAGAACATCCCATTTTGCACCTATAGCTCTTTCACATCTCTTACCTTGCTGGCTCCAGTACCTGTTTTCAAGTCTTAATTTAAAGCCATACGATCTCTCTAGTTCCATTTTCTTTGTTTCAGCCTCTTTTGTTCTTTCTATACCTGCATCTAAATACTCACATATTGTGAGACACAGAGTTTGTAAGAATATTTCACTGAAGACCTTCTTAAAGTGATTATATTAAAAGATGTGTTTCCTTCAGTAGGATTTCTTTCTAAAGGAAGGAAACATGCTCCCCATGTTAAGCTACAGGTATACTAGAAAATTACTCAGTTTTGCAGAACACACCAA